AAAGAAATCTGCAAATTGTCGTCGAATGAAGCGAATTTCCCCTAAGCGAACGGACACATTCGTTAAGAACGACACGATTCCGGGACATCCGACAGGATCTAGTACTATTTTCCGTGACGGCGCTTGGGGGATCTCCCCCCCCCCCCCCCTCTATACGAGTATAAATGTGGAAAAGTATCTTGTGGCCAGCTATCTTTGAGTCCGAAGCATCTACTGTTGTGTCGGCTGTCACGTTTCGGTGTAACTGTGTGCGTGTGTGTGTATCTTTGTATGTATCCCACAACAAATACGAGAAACACTTCCTCATATCTTTGGCAAATATTTCGTCAATGGTCGGCGAAAATTCTTCAGTTTCAAGATTCTGCTGTCGCGTCGTCTGTGTCGCGTCTGGGATTGTTGTTTAATCAACAATTTCTTGTAGAACGCTTTGACTTTTCTTTCCTCCGGCTATCTGCTTGCCTCATCCTCATCCTCCTCCTCCTCCACTCGATGAAAGATAACACGAAATTGCAATTAAAATAGTCAACAATCTATAAACAATAGACAAACAAAGAAAGAAAGAAATAACGAAATTCAAAACCAGATCTATTAAATTTGTCCCCTCTCTCAGATTTCCATGGGTATGGAGGAGACGAGAAGGGGAGGGGGGATCCGGTTCGATTAATTAGAAAATGTTAAAGGTCTGCTGGCATTCTTCTTTTGCTCTCTTTCATGAAAGGATGAAAAAAAGTATAGAAAGAAGAGGGTCTCCTGGCTTCTTCCTTATTTAATGCTCAATCAGAGTTTTCTTCGTGTGTGGGTGGGGTGTGTGTGGGGGTGGTGGTACAGTTGCCCTTGAGCCTTGTTGTTGGAAAAGCGGTTCTGCGTCTTTCGCTTTAAAGTGCGTAACTGTAGCTGCTTCCTTTCCTTTTACTGTTTATCCTTGTTGAACTGCTTACTTCTACTGCTTTGGCTCCACCACTGCTCTGCTGGTGGAATTTTCTCAGTGCACAGCTTCAATTTCGTCTCTCTTTTGCGCTCTCTCCATCGCCCTTATGTTATTTCTTTTAAGGATAGGCCTACCCTTGTGCCACGGCATCAGAGGCACAGAGAGCGACAGAGCGACAGAGCGAGAGAGATGGCTAGATACATAGCTGGCAAATCCAGATGTATATACATGTACATCTATATCCTTCTTCCTTTGCTGTATGTTGTACATATTTCTAGGCACTAAACCTGATAATTTACGCAGCGGCAGTGCCTGTGGCAGTGGCAGTGGCAGCCATGTGTCTGTGCCGCAGGGTGGTGGAATTTAATGACAACAAAAGGGGAGATTCACTTGGGTTTTCTTTACGGTTTGAAATTACATTCGGGCTACGGTTCTGTCTTCTGCCCGCAGAGAGGTGTAAAAAGAGTGGAAGGGGCGAACTTAAACCTAACCTCAACTGTAGGACCTGCAGATACAGATACAGATACAAATACGAAATATAAGTGAATTCAATACAAAAAACGTATTTTTGTAGTTGAATTTTTCCTGATGTAAACTTGCTCCATGTATCCCCGAAAAATAGCAAAAGAGAGTGAACTGCTTTATGGGGGGAAGCCTTTAATTTGTACAGTTTTAGAGGCCACACCTCTAGCGTTTACAGTTTGAGAAGCCCTCTATCGCTTGGTCCCTGAAGCCAATTGAATTTTCTATTCCCTTTTCGCCTTGTATTTTCTCACCTCCCACTCCCACGCCCGAACGCTGTCTATGCCTTCAGCTGCTACTCCCTCCCCCCACCTCTTCTGTCTGTCTGGGCTGCCAGTACTCGGCCCGGGCCACGAGGCGGTGACGGCGGCGACGGCGGCTCGTCGTTTGGCCTTCGTTTTGCGTCGCGTCGTCTGCCTATTGCGTAAAAGCAGCGACGCCGACAGCAGACACAGACACCCCCTCGTGTTAGGCTTTAAGAGAGCTTTTTCCTGTAATATTCGTCAACAAATAAATAAAGAAAAATCAAATTTAAAGCTTAAATTCCCCTCCTCTTTCTCTCTCTCTCTCTCTCTCTCTCTTTCTGTGGTGAGTTTCGTTTGCGGCTGCTGACAATATTGCAACATGTGGCTGGCTGGCTGGCTGGGCTGTTTGTTTGCCAAGAAAAATCTATGGAAAAGAAGACCGAAAACTTACTCTCCGCTTACGTGATGGGCCGGCTTTTGCTTGGTTACGTTATGCGTGACGTTGCGGCATTTCCCCCCACTCCTGTGTGTGTGTGTGTGTGTGTGTGTGTATACCATGTCCATGAGGTTGCGTGCAACATTTGCTGCCACGCCTCTTTCGTTGACCCAAATACGGTTTTCGGTGCCTTGCAGCAAAGGAGCAGAAAAGCAAGCGGCGGCAGCGGCAGCGGCAGCAACTAGCCCGCTAGCCCGAAATCTTATCAATTCATCAATCATGCATGCAGTCATTAAATGCGCTCTCTTTGCTTCGTTTCGTTTCGCTTCGCTTCGGTTTCGTTTCGTTGCTCGCTCTCGCGCTCCATGGCTACCGTTTTATGTTGGCGTTGCCGGGGTTACCGCATCGGATAGCAAAGTCTCTCTCTCTCGCTGTCTCTCTCTGCTTAAAGCCAGGCACGGCACTGATGCAATGGCCCAAAGCCCATGTTTATAGCTTTGAAGATATAAAATACACCTCTGGATTGTGTGTGTGTGTTTTTTGTTTGACCAACACATACTCTCTCTCTCTCTCGCTCTCTCTCTCTCTCTCTCTCTCTCTGGAGCATAATTACAGTTAAGTAATGTTCTGCTCTCTGCAGTCGTACAGTCACCTCTTTCTTTCTGTCTTTCGCAACGGAAGCGAAGCTGCGACAACAGCCCCTCTCTCTATCTCTCTCTCTCTGGTGCCCACCTGTCGCCAGGGCATTCTCTGCCACTGCCTCGTGTCTTTTTTGTTCTTTTGTATTCGATTCCAGCCTTGTTTCTTCTGTTATGGCTGGGCACGGAGTCGCCTTGAGCTGCGTTGCTAGCCAAAACAAATGCAGGACGTTCTCTCTCTCTGCATCGACATTGATTATACGATATACAGCGGTTCGGCGGCCCTTAACGAACTCTTAAACCCCCATATGTTTTGTGGCAATCTTGTTCCTAAAGTGCCTCCAATATCTTGTCCAGTTTTTGAGGAAATCTCGGAAATATGATCGATCCAAAATAGAATATCATTTTCGAAACTCGATTTCGTTGTGCACAAATTCGATTCCGAGCGACTCCAGGCTCCTCCCCTCCCCTTCCCTCTCCTCTCCTTTCCTCTCCTTGCCCATTGCCCTGTCGACGTTGCCAAAGTTACGATTCGTTTCGATTCATGCCAGACAAAAGCTAAGCATTGCGTCACCCACAGAGATGCAGACGCAATTGTTTATTAAACAATTCATGCACACGCCCACGCCCACCCCCCAACCCCCTACCCCCCTACCCCCCACCCCCTGACTGGCTGAACGCCTCTTAACCGTCTCTTAAATTTATTTATTTATTAAGTTCAACAGAATTAAACAAATAGCCAAGCCAAGTCAAGCCAGCTGTGTTGTTTATTTGCTGCTGGCATTGCCATTGCCTCCTATCTCCTACCTCCTCTCTCCCACCTGGACACTCCGTGCCGCTCCATAGCTGTGGCATAAACAGTATTCGGTTTGAAGATATTCTACACATTGTATCTTCAAATCTGAATTGAAAAAACCAGCAAAAATAACAGATCGGATCACAGGGGGGGGGGGACCCGAAAACAGCAGCAGGCACCTCCACCTCTCCCTGTCCATAACCCCCCCCCCCCCCCCCCCCCCCCCCCCCCCCAAATGTGGAGGCAAACCTGTAAAGTGCTTGAACCTTTAATTTTTTTGCTTGTGCGCTTATAAATTGTCATTTAGGTTTTACTCTCTCCTACTCCTCTCCTCTTCTTTTCTTTCCTCTTCCTCTTCCTCTCCCTGCTTTACTCGTATTTTATTCTGCGGATCAGAGTGCAATTTGACAATTTGTCGTATTTCTCCAGTGCTGTGTGTGGGGATTATATTGCAACAACAACAACAACAACAAAAAAAAAACAAAAACAAAAAAGCTGTTGCTAAAGTTCTAAAGAGCAGTGAGTAGGCCCCCCGTTGCCCTTACCCTTCCCCACGGCCTCTGGACTCTCATTCATTCCAAGGTTTTGCAACCCTGCGTTTGCTGTGGCTGTGGGCTCCAGTGTTTGCGCATACCTTAGATAGTGGCAGAGCTTTGGCAACACTGTCTCGGGCATTAGGCAACACTGGAAAGTAGTGCAAGCTGCAGCTGATTATGAGGTCTGGCAACATTTGAGGCGGTAAAGTGAATCCACGAGGCATGTATCAAGGGATGAATGGATGGAGAATGAATCAAAGGCTGAACAATGAAGGTGAAAGGAACATTTAAAGCACAGTAACAGATCCCGCCGATGATGCAATATCTATGCATGTCCTGAAGAGCCGATTCTACTCTTCTCACAATTCGTTTTGTCACTAAATTCTCTGTTGCCATTTTTTTATTTATCAAAACCTCACAGATACATATGTATCGATATGTCTCTCGATAATTGAAATACAACGTTTTTTTTTTTTTATTGTTGAAGTGGCAAAAAACGCGTCGATATTGATGTCTTCTTAATTGTCTGCCTCGCCTGCCCCTGAATTATCCTCTCTCTGAAGGGGTACTCGAATATATTCCCCAACAGTCTGTAATCGTATCGGATGGATCCGAAAGGGTAGTAATTGGTGCTGCTTGGCCCCTGCCGATCAGATTTGAACTGAAATGTCACTTGAAATTTCATTGCGCATGCGCGCGAATGCAGACAGCAGCAAATCAACGCCTGCCTGTCTGTCCCTCCGTCTCCTTTCCGGTTCTCCCTCTCTCTCCTCGTGTTTTTTGTGTGTGACTGTACCTTGAAGTGTTTGGGATTTCTGTTGCACGCCTTTTGCTTTTATTCTAGATATATATTTCATTTCTCTCTGTGTAACCATTTATCATTTGCCCTCTTCTTGCAGAGAACTACAGGATGGGACACTCAAAGATCACAACTTAATGGATGGTTCCAAGATCATTTTAATACCAAATGTCGAAACTGGTTTACTGGTAAGTTGCGCTCCAACGTAATCGCAAGAACATCATGCGAATCGCGATTAATTTACCACAAAAATAATAGCAAGGGAAAACAGAAGAAAAAAGTACAGGATTCGTAGGCCTCAAACCAGGAACCTATAACCTGTAGAATAGTAAGCATTTTATCGCCATTTTGCACTCTTTCTACCAGTTATCGATCATATATCGAACAGTTATCGATGTTAGCTTGAAGAATGAAACTAGGGAGACTTTAAACCCGAATTTGGACTCCCTTTTTGGACTTTGTGACTAATTCCATTCTCCTATAACCTGTAGCCATATAATCGCCATTTTCGCACTTTCCAGCAGTTATCGATCATATAACGAACAGTTATCGATCATATGTCGAGCAGTTATCGATATTCGGTTTAAGAATGAAGCTAAGGAGACTTTAATGCCGAATTTAGTCTCTCGTTTTTGGGACTTTGTGACTAATTCTATTCCGAGCTCGAATTCGAACTCGAATTCGACTTTGACTTGGAATTCGATTGCGAATTGACATTTGCATTTGCATTCCGCTCGATTTGCTGCTGTTGATCGTTTTCATGTGTTCGTCATTTCTTCGTTCGTTTGCCAAAAGCTGTTTGACATTAATTAATTTGAATTTCTTTGCATATTTATTTTATTACACACCAAAAAAAAAAAAAAAACGAACACACACACACAAAGGCAGACACAGACAGACAGACAGACATTTTGTTGCGATGATTTGGACTCTTACTAAACGGGTTTTTAGCCTACTTTCGGATGGAGTACACACCTCAGGAGGCAGTGGGGCTGTGCACCAGGCCTTTAATTTGTGAATCGAAATAAAACTATGTATGCCTTTTTTTTCGGGGGTTCGAAACGATCGCCAAGTCTTTGGGTTTCCTTCTCTGTCTCTGTGTCTCTCTCTCTCTTTCTGTCTGTCTGCCTCTTTCTACCCTTTGAAGGTTTCTTTGTGTGTCGCTTCTTTGTGCGTTGTTTTAATGAGAAAGTTTTTGGCTGAAATTGAAAATTTATGCGACAACCGACGCCATCTAAAGGTCAAGTTTGCATTTGTATGCGCGTCATGGCCCTAGCTTTGTCTCGCTCTCTCTACCGCTGTCCCTCTCCGTCTCCATCGCCATCGACATCGACATCTCTGTTGCTGTAAGCAGTCTGGGATGAGGTAAGCAGTGCGGCTAAGCAGTGTGTGTGCGCATGGCAACCAAAGTGGAAATACGGATTATGCAAAGATAGACAGAGATATTGAGGGGAGAGGGTACTCCTCTCTCTCTCTCCCTCTCTGTCTCTTCTTTGCACTTCTTTTTCCTCCACTTGTGGCCCACTTTTGCGCGTCGTGTGCGCGGTGGTTGCGGCACACACAACCGTTTGATGTACCGTTTACCGTTTCGAGCTATGAGCTCCATAGATCTCTTGGCTCTCTTCTGGGTCCATTCTTTTTTTCCCCCCCCTCCCCCCCTCCCTTGCTTCACATAACCGTTTTATTATCCAAGCCATGTCAATCGCCTTCAATCTTGATTGAGAGACTACTCCATCTCTCCCTCTCTCTTTCTACCTCGTGCGGTGTTTTTTTTTTTTTTCGCAGTCTAAGCTTTAGTTTCGGTTTCTTTTCCTCCGCCTCCTCTTTGCGCATAAATTCGCTCAATGTTCATCTGAAACGTGTGAAATTGATTCCCTTCAACCAAGGAAAAAGTTGCACGAACATCAAGAAAATCACCAGAAAGATAGCTCATCTTTGAGCTCCGCAAATGTCACGGCCTAAACGGCCTGATTAAAGAAAGTCTGAAAGGAAACACGGATCATATTCCATGATGGAATGTGTGTAATGAAACGAAGAATGTTTCAAGTTGGTTTTTGGGAAACTTGAAACAAAGAGCCGCTAAAAAAGTAGATGTTGGAATATGGGAATGAAACGTGGAACCACTGATTCATCAATCTTGCAATATTTGGAATAGAATGGCATCGAAATCCTGGGAAACCCAAGGATACATTTCACTTGAGGGCTCCTCAAAGTCATTGAAAATGTGACCAAATTCGGTGAAATATTGAATATTTACTGCATTTCATATTGCATTCAAAGCACACTTGTCAACGTGTGGGTGTGTCCGTCTCTGTGTCTCACACGTACATAAAATTTCATGCAATTTTCGTGATGCGAACAAAGAAATATTTTGGCGTGCACGAAAAATACATAAAAAAAAACAACACAAAATAAAATCCAAAGCACAAAAACAGCACAAACCGAAGGTAAATTTACATACGTTCCCATAAATGTGCACAAAAAAAAAAAACAAGGAGAAACAAATTATCATTATTGCCTGCAGAAGAGTGTATCCCCGATTCACAGTCGTACAAATGTTCCCCTAAGCGATTGGAACATCGAGCGCTAGCAGAAATGGGAGGCACGCAGCTCAAAATTCACCGAAATACAAATTCGAGCTCCTCTTCCGCTGAGGTGAAGGGACGGGACGGGGCGGGACGGACACTTCTTTGTCTCTTGCTGGAAAGTCAATAAAAAAAAAGCTGATTAAAATTTATTTACAAAACAAAATGAAATTGCAATATATTCGTGCAAAAGAAAAACAACAACCAAAATCAACAGACAAAAAAAAAACCGACAAGAAATGTTTAAATAGCCAATTAACAATTTGCGTCTCTCTTTGGTTTGGGTTTGGGTTGTTCTTTCTGCTGATTCTTGCTCTTTTATTTTGTTATTATTTTATTTATATATATTTTTTTTTGTATTTGTTGAAATTCGGGGCGCGTGTGGGGGGGGAATGCAGCAGCCGCCGCCTTCCCTTCCGACAGGTGGCGCAGTTTTGGAAAAGAAAGGTATGACCATGCTGGTGGCCCTGCTCCATGGACTGTGCTCTGGTCGCCGTGTGAGTCATTGCCATTGCCGCCTCCTAATTAAGTCAAAAAACACTCGCAATTCGGTGGCAGGCTGCCCGTCAGCCCCCGCCTCTGCGAAATGTGTGTTAACATGTGACAGGTGGATCTCTCTCTCTCTCTCTCTCTCTCTCTCTGGGAGGATGAGTAACCCAAAAGGTGACCGCCAAAGGCATACTCCTCTGCTCTGCACAGCAATCGTACATCGTACTCCTTTCCATTTCGTCTAAGAAAAAGAAAAGTATAAATAAACGAGAACATACCCCCTAAATATAGTAGTGCAGGCCAACCCGATATATAATGTATATATGTATCTGTCACGGCATTTGCATATTGCTCCAATTTTATCTTGACACATTCTGTCCGCCCCTCCGTACAGATACATCTGTATCTACAGCGAAAAAAGAGAAAGAAATGAGTGAGAGAGAGAGAGAGAGGGAATTATTTCAGCTGCTATTAACAGTAATAATATTTTGTAAAGTTTATTATCGCCACGAAATGCAGTGCTGCTTGGGCGGGGGAGAGGGGAAGGGGGGGGGGGGGGGGACTGCAGACTTGGCAACACCAACGATACTGTATAGAGTCTATATAGTCATCATTCCGCCAGATGATGAGTGGGTGTTGTGGGTGGGAGGCTGATGACGAAACTTTCGATTTTGCTTAGTTTTTTTTTATAAATACCGATATTATGAATACGAATAGGATAGGATAAGGGAGGAACAGGGAACGCTGGAAGAGGAACGCGGATTTTAACCCAATAAATCATTTTAGAGTGGAACGGGGAACAGCAAGAATAAGAACAGTCTTCCCCATAAACGGAAGGGCGTCGAAGGAATCTGTGATTCCATGAATTAGGGACAGAAGCCAAACAGCTGGAAATGGCACTTGCTTTTGGACCAGTGGCATGAAACAGAGCTGCAAAGACCTCGTTCTTTGTTTCTAAATTGTATGATTATGCAGGGCTTCGAAGGAATCTGTGATTCCTTCAATTAGGGACGTATCCGCTTCACAGAAGCCAAACAGCTGGAAATGGCACTTGCTTTTGGACCAGTGGCATGGAACAGAGCTGCAAAGACCTCGTTCTTTGATTCTAAATTGTATGATTATGCAGGGCTTCGAAGGAATCTGTGATTCCTTCAATTAGGGATGTATCCGCTTCACAGAAGCCAAACAGCTGGAAATGGTACTTGCTTTTGGACCAGTGGCATGGAACAGAGCTGCAAAGACCTCGTTCTTTGTTTCTAAATTGTATGATTATGCAGGGCTTCGAAGGAATCTGTGATTCCTTCAATTAGGGACGTATCCGCTTCACAGAAGCCAAACAGCTGGAAATGGCACTTGCTTTTGGACCAGTGGCATGGAACAGAGCTGCAAAGACCTCGTTCTTTGTTTCTAAACTGAATGATTATGTCGAAATTGGACGACACTTTCACCCATTGCGGGCAGGGTGGGGGAATGTGGGATGGATCCCCCCTGTTCTTTATTTTTGGCACCACCAACAACCGAATGACTGTCGCAGCGTGTGGGTGGCAGCAAAAGAAATGGAAAGGAGAACGTTGGAGGCCACAATCTGTCGAGTGGTTCCCCCGTTCCCCGTTCGCTTCCCTTCCGTTCCGTTCCGTTCCGTTTCGATTCGTTTTTATTATTTATGCCATTTAAATGATGCGCTGGCGTTTACCTGTCAAATTAATTAACTGTGCTTTCGGGTCTGGCCTTTTGGACACGATATGGGAGGGGGGAGGTGGAGGGGCGAGACGAGTGGGATGCTGCATAGATTTATGAAAATGATTTTTAAAAGACAAAAGGCGCAGACAAAGGGCGCTCGCTGGATGCTGGTGATGCTGGCAGTGGCTGTGAAAGACAAAGCAACAAAGATGAAACGAAATGGAAATGGAACAGTGGCGTTGGTGGTGGGTTGCTATGGCTCATTAAAAGTGCCAAAAAGCCAAAGAAACATTGAAAATCTCTACAGATGCGTGGATGTGTATATGTATGCCATGGAGACCAGAGACCAGAGACCAGACCCCAGAACAGACCAAAATTTATGTGTCCTTTGTATGTTTTGTTCTTTTTGGGCGCCAGCACGATCTGGAGAGGGGGGAGGGGGGAAGGGGGAAGGCAGATGAAGGATGTGGACAGGTTATTAACCAGTTCTATTAGCCTCTTTGTCTTTCCCTCTTCTCGGACGAGTCTTTGGCTAGCAACTCCTTGAAACACTCATATCATTTCCCCTTACAGATGCAACATAATCTGCATGTGTCCCGCATGTCCACTATCCACTATGCGTCAACAAGTTGTTCATGGAATGGAGCGGAAATACACAAGAAAAAATATAAATAAAAAATGGCTTTTGCTCACTTAATTTCCGTGAATCCATCCGGTTTATCGTCTGCCAGTTGCTTCATCTGCAATCAGCCCATGATCAGTGGCTGGGGGGATCTGCAACAGATTTGCAGAAAAAAAAAACAAAAAACTGTGTGTGCGAGACACGTCTTGAGGGAGTCGGGGAAATGACTGTACCCCGATGACCCATTCCATTCCATTCCAGATTCCAGATTCCAGATACCAGATACCAGATACCACAATTCTCCGATTGATAACATTCCAATCATACTCCCTCTGTAGCTCTCTTCTGTCTGTATCTTTTCTCTGTTAGATCAAAAGTAGATACAAGTATCTGTATCTGTAGCTGTATCTGTATCTGTATATTCATGTATATTTATCATTTCTGTGGAATCGATTCGCAATCCCAAAGCTATTGCTGTTTTTTCTATTTATATTTCTATTGCTTTTGATTTTGTTGGGGAGCACAGGGTCCGCGTTGCCATTTACAAATGGCTATTATTAGTTGGCTTTAATTGCTTTTGGGGCATGAGTAATAAATGCCCAAGGAATTCACTTGTCGCTGTTGTCCCCCCCCCCCCCCCCCCCACACATTTTTTATTGGAATACGTCTTGTGGCGCCTTGTGATTCGATTCGATTCGAAGTGCACAGAAAGTTTCCCATCATTAAGTTGATAAGAGAAAGGGGGCGACAAGAGAGAGGGAGAGGGAGGATCAAAGCTCACTAGATGGACAGGGACAGGGACCCCCGGCGGGTACTCCTATGACACATGCATTTCACAAAACAAAAAAAACAAAAAAAGCCGGCACAACTATACATATATTTGTCTTTAGATAAACTTATTTTTAAGACGAAAAACCAATTGACAACGAGCTCCAGTTGCCCTCAAACTGTGTGACCACTGACGCACTGCTTGTCCAGATAATGAACGCAAACACACGGCCCACTGGGACTGGCGCCGGTCTTTGTCTTTGTCTTTGTCCCCGTGCCAGTGCCTGTGCCTGGAACTAGTGCAATAAAAACACAACAACAAAAAAGGGGTGCAACTAATACGCCACCCCTCCCCCCTGCCGCTCACCCTGCTTAACAGTTGTGTTCCGTTACTCTTATCAAACCAATTTAATTTGTTAAAAATTTTTAAGTGCGCTTAAAAAAACTTCCATTGGAATGGCAGGCCACAAAAAGCTACGCAATAAAAATAATTTCATGGTCAGCAAACACGAACGTGGAACGCAGACACACACACACACACACACACACACACGCGAACAGATAGCCAGAGAGAGAAACTAACGCAGAAAACACACAAAAACAAGAAAGAAAAGATTGCTTTGTCAAAAAAAAAGAAAAAAAAATAGTGTATGTATGTATGTAGGTGCATACATACAGATGTGTGGGAACAAAGTTGCAAGCGCTTTGTTGCCCGCTGATTGCTGCTGCTGCTGCTGCTCCTGCTCGATCGAAGATGCACGAGAAAGGAGGCACAGGCCTGGGAAAGGGAACGGAAGCTCTAGCAAGACTCTTTGCATGTCCCCCCAATTGTTCGAAGAGACATCAAGCAGTGCAAGACGGACATAGCTCTATTCAAAACATGGTCAAGCAGGAGAGGAGTGCAGCTATTACTTCACGAAGCAGTACATACTGGCAAGATGTAAGCAGCGCTTTAACTTTAACATTGCGTGTTCACTGCTTGTTTTCTAAACAGTAACAAACGCTGAAGGAGGGGGAGATGGTGGAGTGGATGAGAAATATATGCACGGCAAGCAGTACAGTGCATCTGAAACCAGTGGAAAGAGCCGCCAAGCAGTAGTTACACTTCTTTTTTGTTGTTGTTTTTTTCGCAACATAAAAAAGAAGAGGGAGGCAAAGAAATATACATAATTATATGCATACCTCAGAAAGCAGTACAGTTATGGTGCTGTACAGTAAAACGCACCAACGCAAGCAGTGCACAGAACACAGCCTCAACGCAAGCAGTACAGCACGTGACTGCTGGAATATAAGAAGAGAGGAGGGAGTCTCTTTTCTCTCTCTCTCCTGAAGATGACGGAAATCTTTGGTGACGACGGAGCTCATGATGCTGATAGCTATCAGATTTTTGGCACACAGCTAATGGAGACACCCCCCCCCCACCTCCATGCCCCCTTTCAAAACCGGTTTGAACACAGAGTTACAAACAAAGCAACAAAATCAAAACCAAAAGAGAGAAAACGTCCACTCAATTTGCAAAAAGTTAATAAATTACAGCATTGCCGCCTGCGTTGGCTTTGTTTTTGCTTTGAAATTTGAAAATTTCGATTTTGCTGCTGTCCACGACGCAGACGCAGGCGTTGACGCCGACACCGACACCGACGCCGACACCGACGCCGACACTGGAGCTGGGGAGGTGACGTAAGTTGCGTGCGACGACGTCAGTTGACCTTGGTACAGTTAGCCAGCGGCTGGCAGCAGCCATGGATACAGTCACAGTCACAGTCGCAGTCGCGCAGCAGCAACGTCACCAAATAGGCTTGAACCGCATCGAGGCCTTTTTAGCCTTTGAGATGCCCTTTCCCGAGAGAGAGGAGAGGCCTAAAGCTTAAAGCAAGCAAATGAAACGATGTAATCGCAGGGAGATCCTTCTTCTTTCTGTGACGAATCGAGAGAGTATCCAAAGCCTCGATCTCCCCGAAGACTAGCTTTTCGCTTCGCTTTGTTGGTCGTCCGTCCGGTTGCTAGGCCAAACATTTTTGGGGGAAACTTTTTTTTTTTTTTTTTTTTTTTGGTAGGGTTGCATAAGGTCTGCTTCGGCGTCAAATGCGGCAAAGGGAAAGTGGAGATGTAGCCATGTATAGGTGTAGCGTCAATGTCGTGTTTTCCCATCAGTTGAGTTTGTTCATTTGAATATTATTGGGTCACTGTGTCACAGAGGCAGAGCACCAGAGCCCCAGAGACCGAGAGTCAATAAAAATTAACCCCCAAGCGGGGCTCTGACTCTGTCTTGAGAGTGCATCTGTCAGATACATATATCTGTATGTATGGAATGAAAACGATTAATTAACCGCAGACCACCAGCGTCCGACCCCTGAGTCGCCCTTGAATACGCGATTTGTGGAGGGAATGAAAGCTCGCCTGCATCCAGATCGAAGCCTGTCTCAGGGAAATGGTTCAAAAGATCGGGATGGAGAGATCAGCGGGCGGGATCTCCAGTCTCTGGAATGTCCGTACAGCGCGGCTGTTGTTTTATTTGAGTAGAGACTGAGACTAGAGAGAGAAGAGCCAACAAAGGTAGTGCATTGAATCACGTAGCGACAAAAGCAAAAGCAAATATTATACTGGCTTTGGTTCTGTTTCTGGAATGTTGTGGTGGGTGTGGAGGGAAGGGTGGGAAGGGGGGGGGGGGGGGCAGGGCAGGGTAATATACACTAGATGCTATACTCCCCCCCGCGTATCGAACTCTCGTTATGTAATGGAAAGTGGTGGAAAGAGCAGGAGGCGGTAAGCAGTTAAGCAGCAAGCAGTCCAAGCAAGGAGTACGTACAGGAGAAGCAGTTTACTGCAGGGCAGACTGTTAAGCGGTCCAAGCAGTAGATTCCCGAATATATTCACACATCTAATATTATTATCCTTTCCTTCGCTTTCCCTTTTCGCAGGCCCAGCGACCGGAGAACACGGTGATGCAGGCCCTTGAATCGCTCAACGACTCGCAGGTCAACGACTTCCTCAGCGGCAAGACTCCGCTCAATCTGAGCATGCGCCTGGGCGACCACATGATGCTCATCCAGCTCCAGCTGAGCACCGTCAATCCGAGTGCCGCCACTGTGGTGTCCGCCTCGGGCGGCGGGTCCGCCTTTGCGGGTGGCAGCTCCTCCTCCTCCAGCAGCTCCAGTTCCAACGCGACTTCTGCAGCCGCCGCCTCGACAGCCGGGGGCGGCTCCTCCTCCTCCTCCTCCTCCGCCGCCGCCGCCGCTACCGGATCACCAGCCGTGCTGGTGGGGGGCGGTGGCACCTCCAACAGTAGTTCATCGTCGCACACACGTGCTCGGCCGTCCGGCCAGCGCCTTGGCAAGATCGGGCATGGCCACGTGCACAGCCATCAGCATCCGAGCCTGCATCACGGCTCCTGGCACGGCCACGCGCACGGGCATGGTCACGGGCACGGGCATGGGCATGGACATGGGCATCACCATCATCACCACCACCACCATCACCATCACCACCATCACAACGCCTCGGCGGTGGCCGCCGGCACCGGCGGGGGCATGTCCTCGCTTCGCAAGATGTACGTTGAGCTTCCCAGCTCCAGTCCCAGCACCAACACGAGCTCCAGCTCCAGCTCCAGCTCCAGCACGGGAGGGGGGGCATCGAGTGCTTCCAGGGGCAAGCAGGAGGGCCAGGGACATTGCCAGGGCCATGGTCAGGGCCATGGTCAGGGCCAGGGCCAGGGCCAGGGCCTCATCAATGCACCCGATCTGACCAAACTGCTGATCAAGGGCGGCATCCAAAACATTGTCAAGAGCTTTGCCCTCAAGGAGACCACGCGCGCGTCAGTCAACGGATCGGCTGGGTCCTCCGGATCGTCCGCTGGTCCCGCCACCGGGAAGAGCCTGCTGGAGCAGTCGCCCATCAAATCGCTCTCGAATCTCGTCTCGAGCCCCATCAAGATGACGGCCATCAAGAACATTCCCTCGGGTTCGGGCTCGGGCTCGGGCTCGAGCTGCAGCTGCAGCTCCAGCTCCAACGCAAACCCGGCCACGGCACCTGCTTCCACCTCCAGTTCCGCCTCCGCTTCGTCAGGAGCATCGGGTGGCGGGGTCTGCAGCAGCAACGGCTGCCAACAGGATCCGATAGCCGCCAAGCTGACGTCGTGCCTCTGCACGCGCCTGGCCACACCGCCAGCTGGACAGACGACGGACTCCACTGCCTCCACTGCTGCACCTGCATCTGCCTCTGCCTCTGCCACCGCCCCAATGGCACCCAGGTCTAACAAATGCCCCGACAGCTGCATTGGCTTCGCTGCGTCCCGCTCCTCGGCCACGACCAGCGGCAGCCTCGGGGTCACCTTCTCCGGTAACTCGATGATGCACAAGACGGGCAACAACCGGATCGCGCGCTCCAAGCACCGCCACTTCCACAGCCACAGCAGCCAGAATCAGTTCTACCAGCAGCCGTGCGTGAATGCCGCCGCCTTCTCCGCCTCGGGATCGGGATCGGGGTCGCGCCGCAAGCAGGAGCAGGCTGGAGCAGCAGGACCCACTGCAGCTCCAGCGGCAACAACAACGTCCCAGGCCGCCGTCTCGGGCTCCGTCTCCTCAGAGCCGGATGAGGCATCGCTGGGTGTGTCCGACACCCGGACACTTGCCGAGGCATCGCGCAATCTCACCCAGACGCTGCGCAAGCTCTCTAAGGAGGTGTTCACCAACAAGATCGATCTGTCCGGGGCCAGTGTGAGCAGTTCCAGCAGCGGCGGCGGCGGCGGCTCCTCCTCCTCGGGGTCCGGCGGCAGTGGTGGCAGCCACGTGGCCGGCGGCTCTTCGGGGGTTGCAGGCGATGAGACGCCCAGAAAGGGCGGATCTGGGGCCGTCATTGAGTCCATGAAGAACCATGGGAAAGGCATCTACTCTGGCACCTTTTCGGGCACCCTAAATCCCGCCCTGCAGGACCGCTACGGTCGCCCCAAGCGCGACATCTCGACGGTGATTCACATTCTCAACGATCTGCTGAGTGCCACGCCCCAGTACAGTCGCGCGGCGCGCATCAGCTTCGAGACACCCAGTGGCACGGGTGGTGGCTCCGCCTCCAGTGGGTCCGGGTCCGGGTCCGGCTCCGGATCCTCGTCTGCATCCACCTCCTCCTCTGCTGCAGCAGCAGGAGCTGCAGTCAGTGGACTGCATCATGGATCCCGCGGTAAAATTGTAAGTGATCCGAAGATCCCACCTCCTGAGAGCCCAAAAACTAATCCCCTTATCGTCCTCCCCCCTCCGCAGTACTCATCGAAGCACCACAACTGCGTGAAGTGCAGTCGCGCCCACCAATACACAGCCGTGTCGACAGCCCTGACTGGCGGCTACTCCGCATCGAAGGCATCCGCCGCCGCAGCAGCAGCCGCCGCCGCAGCACTATCGTCCGCCTCCACATCGTCCAAGTCCGCGCACAGCTGCTGCCTGCTGGAGGGCAGCAATGCCAGCGGCAGTTCAACAGCAACATCGGCCTCCATCCACAGCAATGGGAATGGGAACGGGACCGGGAATGGCTGCAGCTGTCGCTATCGCCTTGTGGCCGGCGGGGAGGATCGCGAACGCGAGAAGGAGCACACGTGCCAGAAGTGCACCCAGGAGCTGGACAATCTCAAGACCAAGTCGAAAATGGACCAGCTGCGCCTGGTCATGCAGCAGCACAAGCAGAAACGGGAGGCGCGCAAACTAAAGAGCGGACCCTATGCGGTCAATGTCAGCCATGCGGCTGCGGGGGCCAGTGCGGGCGCTGAGGCTGCCTCTGTGGGCGCGGGCGCCCAGTACAGTGCAGTGAGTGCCCTGGTGGCCACTGCAGCCCAGGGAACAGCCGGAGGAGGAGCCGCAGCGGTAGGTGGAGCGGCAGCAGCAGCAGCAGCAGCAGCAAATACCACAACAACAACCACCGCCACAGCCACAGCAGCATCGGGGGCCAGCAGCGAGGTGCCGCCCAATCACATTGTGGAGGAGGTGGACACGGCAGCCTAAGCAACCTCTCAACGAGCCCCTCAACCCCTCAACCCCTCAACCTTGTCCCATTTGTTTAGCATTTACTAGTTTATGCTTGAAGTTTGTTCCACAAGCAACAGAACACAATCCACAGCAACACGAAGAAAGAAAGAGAAACCGAAATAGTTGGAAGAAAGAAAAAGAGTTACAAGATAGAAGCTTAAGCTTGTCATCATCTAAATATATATATTGTGTATAACCAGGCGATCCCTATATTTGTGGATGCTATGACATGAACTCCACCATCCACCATCCACCATCCACTCGTTGCTCTGCCACCCAGCGACGGCGGAGAGGAGAGATTGAAAGGGGAGTGGAGCTGTTAAATTAATTGTAAGAATTATAATTGAGAACACACAAAAACCAGAAACAGAAACAGAAACACAACCACAAGATGAGAATAATATAATGTTGTAGAAGTCACTCGGCCCCAGGGCGCTCCAGGGAGAATCCAGGAGTGCATTAAATCATATTTGTAAATGGAATTTAGTTAAATTTGTTTGTTCCATCTGGGGGAAAACAGAACCTTTTCAAAAACAAAACAAAAAAGAGCACCACTCTACTCCAGAGAAAAGAGTGGCGAGTGGAGAGGGGGAGAATCCAAAAAACGGAACACACACTGCATAAAATAGTTATTAAAGTAACCGAAAGGAAGATGGAGAGAAATTCAGCAAACCATTTGATAAATTATAGGATATATCCCTCCCCCCTCCCCACCACACTTAATGTAAGAACAACAAAAAAAAAACCATAAATTAGAATTTACTTTAAGGACACACAACCACACACACACACACACACACACACAAACACACACAAACACATACATACATGGCTTTGGCAGCTTTATATTCAATATTATGTTAAAACTTAAACACGAGAGAACGAGAGAGTATCGATCGCTTTAACCTGATTTGCCTTAATAGAAAATCGTTTTTTTTTTCCCCGCCTTTCTATATCTATATATATATATATGTATAGATTTTTCTTTTTTCGTTTGAAAGAGTATTTTTTTTTGTTTGTTTCTGACGGACAAATTGTGTTTTGCGAAACATGGACGTCGAAGGATAATGAATGAGGTTTAGACCTCCCACCCATCCAAACCACCAACACCACCACACACACGGCACCCAATTACTGTCTATTACTATTGAATTAGTTAGTAAGAAGTACCTATGTTTTTCTATTCTATTAATTTTACCTTTGAGAACACACCACCCTAATGCTATAACAATAATTTGTAATCTTTAATCTGTAATCTGTAATCTGTAATCTTTAATCTATTATCGATTGTCGTTTATCGTTTATCGATCGAAAGTGAAGTGTATCGTAGTTTAGTTTGCAACAAGTCGCAGGAGAATGCAGCCGATTTATCAGTTAATCACTTTGGAATATACATACTATATACATATTATTGGATACGTACACTAATTATTATTATAATTTTTTTTTTTATTGTTCGTTGTTCAACACTTACACTCGTACTCGTAACCCGATTTCAAGCCGATATTCACAAGCAGATGGAGAATGCAATTAGTTTTTAGGCAAGTTTAACTTTTGATTTGTCGACTGGAGTATCGATTCGGCCCCAAACCCCCACCACCACGACACCCACCACCACAGCAGGAACAGCAACAACAGCAACAATAACAACTACTTTTGATTTCAATAAATGTTTAGTAAATGGTTTAGTTAACTAATTAGTTATTTGTTTTATTGATTTGCTTATCGATTATTATTGTGGCATTTTTATTTCAGTTTTCTTCAGTTCAGAGGGGCGCTGCCTTTTGGCGGAACTGTACCGTTATAACGTGCAATACACACACACACATACACACACACAAACGTTTTAGTAGTTAATTATGTATGTGCCAATTGCAAATAGAAAACAAAAAACAAAAAACAGAAAACGAAAGAAAGAAAAACATCATATGCTCTCATATGATATACATATGTATGTTTGTATGAAAACCCCTAGTGAGAATTGTAAATTATATGTCAAGCCCCCTCCTAGCCCACCTCCTCTCCAACACACACACACACACACACACACACACACACGCACACGAAAGAAAGGAGACGAAGTGCAGGAGCAGGAGGAGCATCGACCAAATTGAAACTTTTTATCATTGAAAAGAAAAACAAAAAAACATGTATGGTGGTAGTTATATAAGTCTAAAATTATGTGCAATTTATACAAAAATCTGTTTTCACCCTTGTTTACAATGTATTCACTGTTTTCACTGTTTACTTTCTCCCCCTTGCCCCCCCACCCACCACCAACTATCTACATACATATAAACCCCCATACGCATAGATATAGTATGTATCTATCGCTCTATAACAACTAATTAGCAGCTTAGCCTTAGGATATACATAATATATGTATGTAGCATATAAGTTCTGTGTACGATAACAAATCTAGAATATAGGCATTAGGAATGAAACGATGGCATGGAATGGAAATTGAATGGAGATGGAAGCGGCGGAACTGTGAGCAAAAGATGAGAACCATTCGAATCATGGAAATGAGGGAAATGGCATGGCATGGCATTGTTCGGGCAACAAACTTTGGTTCAGATAGGATTTGGATTTGGATTTGGATTTGGACTTGGATTCGGATTTGGATTGATTCGCTGACTCGGTTGGATTATTTCTCAGCATATCTGCGTGAATTTCTAACAAAGTACAAAGACACACAAGAACTATGCGATTTTTTTGATATATACATACATATAACAAATAGTGCAAATATTTATACAACCACCCGTTTCCCTACCCACATCCACCTCCCCACTACCCATTTCCTTGACAAAACATATGCGCAACATTTGCTGAAACCAAAAAGAAAAACACAAGAAAAATCTTTGAAAACTATGAACAAATTGTAAACTAAATTAAATTTTTGTCGCATTTATTTTGACTAGTTGAAATTTATGAACCCAGCCCAAAAATGAAAAGCGCACATCGAAGGCAGACGCATATATGTACAGTGGCGCCGAAAAAAATAGCACCAGTAGGGACGACCGTCTTTATTCCTTCAAAACAAGACCTCTGTCCAACATTTGCTGGACTTTACTGCAATATAATGTAGCTTTATATGTCTCCTCTCTGAGAGAAGTGTGCTTACTCTCTCAATTCTAACGGTTCTTATAACATTAGGCAATTTTGCGAAAGAAGAGCGAAATAGAGCACCAACAAAAATAGCACCAGTAACTGTTTTATGTAAAAGCTCCTACTTTTCGGAGCTTCTTGATATTTTAACTTCTTGACTGAATTAAAAATCGGTGGCTTTAGGTGATTGTGACAAGAAAGTTACAAAATTTAAGTATTTATGGGTCTTGGAAAGCACTAAAGTGAAGAAAAAAGCCAAAGGATCAAAACTTTCATTTCAGAAGGCATGACCTATGCTAAGGTGGGGCAAATGGTCGATTGTTCAAAAGAAATGATTAGCAATGCTTTTAAATATGTTTCCAACAAGAAACACGTGGAAGAAAGGCCGCGATATTCCCATTTCTGGTAAAACTACTGGTTCGTGAGAGCAAGGACGACCCATTTAAGTCGGCCACAGAGCTAAAGCAAGGATCTTAAAAAATCGTCAAGTACCAGGAAAGTTAGATCTTGTTTACAAGAACGTAAAATGGGTACTCGTAGTACGAGGAAAATTTAACTTTTCACGGAAAGGCATAGGGCAAAAAAAGTTTGGTATGCAAAATAGCACTGAGGTTGGGCCAACGAAAATGGAGAAACATCCTGTGGTCCGACTAAAGCCAAAATTTATTTTTTGGTGTAAAAAGGTCTTGTTCTTGTGTGAAACGACTACCGAATGCAGAATATAACCCCCTGACTCACATGTAAATTCATTAGACATAGAAAAGCAAGCAAAATCGTATGGGCATGATTTTCGTACTAAGTAGGTAATCCAATACATGGCACAACCCCATTATGGATCAACATGTCTATGTCAATACCAAAGAAACAGTGATTCTGCTTTATGCAGAATACGAAATAGACTTGTTTTGTGTCTTCCAGCAGGAAAATGACCCAAAACGATCTAGAAAGAGAGCTCGAAAGTGGTTCGAGCACAATTCTCTTAGTGCAATGGATTGGCCTGTTCAGTCTCCAGACTTGAACCCCATTGCTAATATTTTGGGTCAAGTTAAAAAATATGTTTTTAATGCGGAATCAAAGAACAATAAATATGTTTTGGGTATCCTGCATGGTTCGTGGATCAATATCCCAAGGAAAAGATGCGAAAATTAGGTGAGCTTTAATGTCAATATGTTGAGCTGCTGTTGTTGCTGCCAAAGGTTTTACAACAAAACGGCAACCTTTAAATACAACTAAAGTAACATATTTTACAAAAAATTTTGGAAAGTTTCCTTGTATTTTATAGTTTTTTGATTTCTTTGTAAATTGGTGCTATTTTTGTTGGTGCCCAAATTTCTGATAAAATCCTTTTCTTTTCAAATATTTTCATTTGGAGTTTGCGAATTATGCCAGTGCTCTGGGATACGATAAATTATACCATAAAGTTTATATATTGGTCTTCACAACATTCATTAGAACTATTGCTTAAGCAAAATCCGTCAATATAGACACATTAGTCCACTGGTGCTATTTTTTTCGGCGCAGCTGTACATGATATATTTTTGAACAGACACTTGCGTCTTTTTTGTTGACATCTTTTAAGTCTAAGAGCAGCCGAACTATCGAACAAATCGATTAATTAATTAATGGAATTAGCAAAATTATTTGATGCCCTTGAGCGGAGGAGCGCAGTTGAAAACATCTGAGGAAAAACTGCTAAATCACAAATGAAGTTTCTCCCACTCACGTTCCCCAATAAAACATAAAATATTGACAAAAATATATAAGAACTCAGAAAGAGTATCAGTTTCAGAAGATCTCTATATGGATGGTATATGGTAATCCCCTAGGCGTTAAGTGGTATAGAAAAATTTTAATTCCAGCATCACACATCACACATCACATCGGATATGCATAGACAACACATTGAGATAATCGATATGTACATCCCATGTGTGTCTGTATGTATATCCCATAAGGCACTTTATTAGCAGAAATTTGCAATTTGCTGGCAAAGTTCTATCGATTGGCATGATACGAGAGTGTATCTCTGTTGTCGCTGTCGATCGTAATATATTATATATGTACATGTATTTTTTTTTGCGTATATCGACCCATACATACATATGTACACACTTACAATATGTAGAGGAAACCCTATGTCTAAGATTACATACAATATAATAAAGAGATCTTTCGTTTGCCATCACTTTTGATTGTTGTGTGCAGATTGAACAGATTGACAGCAAATAAACATAGATATACAGACATATATGTTAGATATAGAGATACACACACAGTTTGCCATAGCCGAAATCGGAGAGATCGGAGAGAGAACAGGAGCAGGAGCAGACCACACCGTTGCATGTATAAAACGATACAAAAGTAAGCAAGT